GATTTCAGATTGGACAAAAGATATGAAATAAAAAAGCAAACAAAAAGTATAAGCATGTCTGGTTCCTATTACTTAAAACATCTTGCAGGTTTATACTGGAATATGCCATTTTATAAATAAATCTTATCAAGTGTGGGATTTGATATGTAAAGTTTTGGGGAGAGCTTGGGTAAAATATGTGGTAAATCTTTGGCAATGTTTCATGGCATGAAACACAATAAATATAATCTAAATTTATAGCCATGTGTAATCAAGATATAAAAATTAATTTGTAGCTAAAGTGATATTTGCATGAGTTTTAACAACTGTTTAAGTGGTTTTACATTAAACTTTTTAACCATGTGTCAGTCTGAATAATCAATTACTGACATGAAAAAAAAAAAAAGCAACAAGGTTTTAAACAAAATAGGTTACTCCAAAGTATCTCCAACTTACCAAGTGAATGATGGCACTAAGTTATGTAGAGTTACGACCATTACAAAAGAAGTGTTTAAGAACAAGTAATCTTATTTTAATGAAACCAGTACGACTGCTGCATATCCATAGAGAAAAATGTCCTCACTACAATTAAATCGATTAAATTTATGAAGCATATTAAATCTTTACAAATCCTAACTTTCAGAACACTCGAACTACAGATGATAGATTCAAATGAAGTTCACTGATAAGATAAATGCAGTTTTAAAAGAAAGTCACATAACAAAAAAACCAAGTCACAAAAAGTTCAAGATATTGTATATACATTTATGTGGCTATTTTTAGATTTGAAAAAAAGATTCAGTTGACAATGCCATGTTATGTAGAAACAAAACAATCACCCTCTCAAATTTCATACAAGTTGGGATTAGGTTACAAGAAAACTTTGGATTTCAGCAAAGGAATGCATGGAGAAAGTTGCTGACATGAGACCCCCAAGAAAGGAATGCATGGAGAAAGTTGCTGACATGAGACCCCCAAGAAAGGAATGCATGGAGAAAGTTGCTGACATGAGACCCCCAAGAAAGGAATGCATGGAGAAAGTTGCTGAGATGAGACCCCCAAGAAAGGAATGCATGGAGAAAGTTGCTGACATGAGACCCCCAAGAAAGGAATGCATGGAGAAAGTTGCTGACACGAGACCCCCAAGAAAGGAATGCATGGAGAAAGTTGCTGACATGAGACCCCCAAGAAAGGAATGCATGGAGAAAGTTGCTGACATGAGACCCCCAAGAAAGGAATGCATGGAGAAAGTTGCTGACATGAGACCCCAAGAAAGGAATGACATCTATGTATGAAATACATTTTTGGAAGCAGTATCTCAGGTTCAGTAACACTAAAGAAACAAATAGTAAAATAAAACATACACAAAGTTAACATACTAGATATGTTTTGGAACAAATACTTTTAATTTAAAAAAAGCTATGGAAAACCACAGGAAAAGATATTACATTGAAGTAAGAGCTCACATACAATTTAAGATAAAGTGAAATAACAAACTTTAATGGTGGATAATCAAAGACAACAAAAATCAAAATATAAAAGAATTTGAGCACTATATTATATTCTATCTCTATTTTCTAATTCTTTAAAGTTCATGGAGACAAATGCATTCCCATAATTCCAGTTTTAAGCAAGAGAATATTTTACATTATAATGAGAGAAAGACAATTCATTGAAATGTATCACATTGATAATTATTAGAAGGCACAATTTGCAAATAAAAGATGTAAATCCCCATGCTTCAATAAAAGATTAAATAAACACTCGGGCATTGATGAAGGATACAATTTTTTCCAAAAACAAATGGTAGCATTCTGAACACTCACAATAACACAACTAAAATGCACACATTTTTGGACACTATGAAGATCATGTAAATGAGGAATGTCTGTGTTAACCTTTTAATTACTGATGATTGTGGGCATCAATTTTTTGCTGATTCAGCAATTAAAGATCTTTAAGAAGAAACTTCCAGTATTTTTTCAGGCCTGCACAACTCAAAATGTCAGGCGGGCCTGCACAACTAAAAATGTCAGGTGGGCCTGCACAACTCAAAATGTGAGGCAGGCCTGCACAACTCAAAATTTGAGGCGGGCCATAATACTTTATGAAAAACTTCTGCAGGCCTAAAATAGGAAAGGGGGAGGGGGGGGGGGAAATCGATTAAGAAAATATATATTAAGAATAAAGAATATTTCATTATTTCGCGGACTGCAAAGTTGGTGCGGGCAGGCCTCCCGTATGTTATGCAGGCCGCCCGTATGTTTTGCAGGCTGCCCGTATGTTGTGCAGGCTGCCCGTATGTTGTGCAGGCCTCCCGTATGTTATGCAGGGCGCCCGTATGTTGTGCAGGCCTGCTCTATCTGATTCGCTTATTAAATTCTTAATAAATAAACGAATAAAAAAATATATAGCAATGAAATTATGACGTCGACGTGGTATTTCAGAAAAGTTCTTTCCCTCTTTGTTATGATGACAATGTGACGTCTTTGGTAAATGAAAGTGGGCGATCGTGACGTCGCATCAACGTCAGGGGTAACGAAGTGGTTAATAAAAATAAAAACAATTTATCTTTTAGAAGTTGAATATTTTAAAATGAATTTGCGTTGTCCCTAAAAATAAAAAAAATAAAAAATGCCCCTTGAAACATAAAAGTAAAAACAGAGAGAATGTTCAAATTATCTCCCTTTATCCACACTCGATTTTAACAAAATAAATACTTGTTTAAAGAACATGGCAATATAAATACTGATAACTTACACTGTATTAGTTAAGGGCAAGATCATTTCTCAGAAAGGTCATAAATTGTGAACAGTGCACTAGATGACTCATTTATGCAGGCTATCAGTGGTCAGTCAAATAGGCACAATAAGAAATACACCCCTCGCTAAAAACAAAAAAATCAGAATGCAAGTTAAATTTAGTTGCTAATGGAAAAAAGTAGTCGTTGTTGGTAACCACAGCGCCGATTACAAAATAATACAGTTTTAAGAAAAACTTGATTTTTCTGACTTAATTTGACATTTTGACAACTAAATGTAATAAAATAATTTTCCATTAGATCTGGTATCTCATCACATAAATTCATAAAAAAAAAACAAACATAAATTTAATTAATTCAGGCAAACCACAATGTCTAATCCATTTTTATAAAACAACATTGCTGAGATGAGAAGAAATACAAATATTGAGAAAGAAAATAAACAAGTTCTTTTGAACAGCAGACGTATCTTAGTAACAAGTACACACTTAAATAAAAGTGTTTTTGCTAGAGTTCACAAATTTCTGTAAAATACTTCAAAACATCAAAGTTAAGTAAAAATAATGGAGAATCAACAGTAGCATTAAAGAATGTTTACAGAAAACTACACATTTTTTGGTAGAAATCGGCAGTCTTCAGAGATATACCTCAAGATCATAGACTTTAGAAAAAGTGTAAAATGATAAAAATGACATAAAGATTTAATAGGTAGGATAATGTATACAAAATTTAAAAAACATATGGCTGCAATTATAAGTCCAGCTTATATTATAAATTATTTACTGATTTTTAAGCTGAGCTTAAAAATACTATTTAAGAATGAAAACATCACACGACAATGAAAAGTCACACTTTCATAAAACTGGTTTACAATAGAAAAAAAGAACATATCTCTACTAATGCTGTGTGATTTGAGGGCTGTGCATAAGCAGAGTGCTATGTCCACAGCTGTGTGGGGAGGGGGGCTGTGCACCAGCAGGGTGCTATGTCCACAGCTGTGTGGGGAGGAGGGCTGTGCACCAGCAGGATGCTATGTCCACAGCTGTGTGGGGAGGAGCGCTTCCTTCTGACCAACTTTAGGACTCAAGTTTTCTTTTCTCAAAAACTGCAGTGGCAAGAGCACTAAGTAACCTTTGACCTTTTTCAGCCAGTTCATGGCCTCTTCTGGGTTGCTCTGTGCCAACGGCATCACACTCTGATAGTGACGCAGCTCTGCAAAGCTTTGAACATTATCAGTTGGTAGGCAGCGGAACACCTACAGAAAAAAAATTACAAAAATTAAAGTCTAGAAAAAAAAATTAATTTAAATACAAAATTGCTTGTTAAAAGTTTATGTCCACATGATAACCAACGGCCAAGACTGATTTGAACTTTTTTTAATCCATACCATGCTAATGAAAAATTCATGAATGATCTTCCTTTCGTTGCATGATTTCTTAATCATAAATAATAAATAGCAACTTATAAATATAAATAGCTTGTGAAAATCCAATTAAAATCAAATTTAGAATTTTTTATTCTGACCAATTACAATTTTCTAAACAATGGACTTAATTGATGAATTTGATAGCAATTAAGATGTAGTAGAATAATTCCTCGGTTAATCTTGCTAGTTGTAGTAATGCAGATTTCTGTATTAAATGTACAAAGTAAAATCAATATCATCCGACTTACAATCTTATTTTTCAACGTACCGTGGAGAGAAGTTGTTTTTTTTGGCGCATGTGGATATAAAATGTTAATACATCACCCAGTCACTTTTACTCTCTTGGTAAACTTACACATGAGGCACTCACACAGGAGGCACTCACACAGGAGGCACTCACACAGGAGGCACTCACACAGAAGACATGATATCTACAAGAAAGTCAAGCTTGTCCACAGCAGCCTCAGTGCTGGTTGTTGAGTATGGGAGTTATTATGTTTGATTACGTGGTGTGTGAATTTGAGAGATTAATTAGTTAGTGAACGCTCCTCCTTATCTTGACTTGGTGACATATTTTTATGCTTGTTATGATTTATTGTCTAGTGTGTTGTGTGAGATGCCTTGAAAGGAACTTTGTGAAAGGAGGTTGTGTTTTATTTCTCTCTGATAGCAAGCAGCTATACATGTGTATGTGGAATTAACATCAGTGTATTTAAATTAAATTTAAGTTGCATTTATTATGAAAAAGGACTTGAGTTGATTCAGTGCTAGTATGATGCATTATAAATGTGAAAGAACTTGATGAATAAACCAATCTAGTAGAGCCATGCTGACCAAAGCATAGAAATGAAATACAAATACAAAGCTGAATAAAATGAGTACCTCATCAAAACATTTAGTATTGACAGCAGCTCTCTTTATCCAAACTTCTTTGTAGAAACTGTCACTGGAGATGTCTGTGAGGTCAACAAAGTCTGGCTCATTGTGAATGCCAAGATGTTCACTGAAAAAAGGGAGGTAAACGATAAAATCAAGAGACAGAAGTTAATCTTCTCTGAATAGAGCAATGTAGTAAAAAAAAAACAATTTTTAAAAATAAAAAATGCGGGATAAAGCTTATTACAAAATCAAACAAATTAGAAAATGCAGAAAGACATGCATTCATCAAAGAACAAATGGAGACCTGGTGAATAAAGTCATACAACTCTTGTGAATTGTCTAGCTTGGCAATTTTGATTACTTTTTGGATTTACAAAAAAATTAAATTATGTTTCAGACAATCTGATACTGTTGGGATCATCTGTTATAATTTTAATGAGTCTGGTAGAAAATGAAAGAAAATCTATTAAAAAAAACCCAGAAGACACTTAAAAAGATGTGGTCAAATACCGGAATATAGTCCATCTCAGGGACGAGGCAAATTTTCCTGCCTTGTACCGCTTGCCTTTGACGGTGACGTCAACTTTGTGGATGTCTTCAAACATCACAGCAATCTCACTGTCTCTCGTGCCAAGCAGGCTCCTGTCATTGATGTTGGCAGAGCCAATTATGACAGTGTCATCGTCAACTATCATCAGCTTGCTGTGTACGTAGATTAACTCAGTCATCTGGTAGGTACACAATGAAATGGTCATTAAATGAAAACCAAACATTATTTTTTTTTTAACCACAACACATTTTTGGTAGGTTTCGGTATTTCATTATGACAAACATTTCCTGTTTTTTGTATTACCAAGATTTAAAAATAAATATTGAAACATTAGACTTTACAACAAACAACATAAGTATGAATAAACATCATAATACTTGACACAACTGACTACATAAGTGTAAATAAACATCATAATCTGACTATCTAAGTGTAAATAAACATAATACTTAACACAACTGACTACACAAGTCAAGTGTAAGTAAAAATAATCAAAACTTCAGTCTCATGCAGGCTGTAATGACCCTCACCAACTTATCATCAAGCTTGTCCCAACTCCTCAGTCCACAGAACACAATGTATTTGTTGGGGTCTGGAATCTCTTTGGCCAGCCTCTCCATGAGGGAGTTGCCCCCCCTGCAGATGGAGGAGTAGTTCCAGTGTGTGACCGCCTGCAGAGCCACACCCGTGCTGGTGCCAAACTCCCCCTCGAACGCAGGGAGCAGGGGCATCACAACATACACCTTGAAGTTACTGCTGCTCCTGAAACCAGGGTCATTGTGACATTAGACAGGAGTAAACAGCAGCATGGACTTTTGCATTAAAATGACAATACATAGTGACATGCATCTACTATGGGGAAACAATTAACGGAGACTAGTTTCTTTTAAAATTATGTTAATATTTATTAATTGCAAGAGAGACGCAATTTAAAAAAAAAAAAAAGTGTTTGTCCAAGTGAAATGTAGTGAGTGTTAAAGCTAAAAAAAATAGTCATTCTAATTTCTGCAAAAGACCAATGTTAAATCATTAACAAATTTCTTTTAAAATTATGTTAATATTTATTAATTGCAAGAGAGACGCAATTTAAAAAAAAAAAAAGTGTTTGTCCAAGTGAAATGTAGTGAGTGTTAAAGCTAAAAAAAATAGTCATTCTAATTTCTGCAAAAGACCAATGTTAAATCATTAGCAACTTGTAGAGATGACTTTAAAGAGCAAATACACACGTAGGCAGATTCTGAACAATAATTTTTTGGTTTATTTTGCACACCTTTCAAAAGGAATCATTTGCAAACAAAACAGTTTTAGACGGATGTGGCAACACAAAGACAATTTAACACTTTCTTTTTTGAAATCGCTTCAAGTAAGATTTAACAAGAGATATTCTCTAAGGTTTCCTGACAAGGTTTGGCTGGCAAGGTGGTGTGTAATCTTTAAGGCTGGAGCAAGTGTACAAAATATCCTCTGAATCCAGATCAAACATTGGAGAAAAAATATAAACATTTAAATCTTGTGCCGTCCTTTAACATTCAATATTTTAATATTGATCTTGATTAAGTACCCTGTCCACAATCTCCAACACGATTTTGATGTATTAACCTCCAACACAATTTTGATGTCTTAACCTCCAACACAATTTTGATGTATTAACCTCCAACACAATTTTGATGTATTAACCTTATATTATACATTTTTAAAGGCTCTGCAGTTCAGAATAAGAATCATTGTATGAAGTTGTTTGAATTGGGGTTTAAAAAAAGTATAGCTTTGACTGTTCGAAGTTGCTTCAATAGAGGTTTAAAGAAAGTATACCTATGATTGTACGAAGTTGATTCAATAAAGGTTTAAAGAAAGTATAACTATAATTGTGTGTAGTTGTTTTATTAGAGGTTTAAAGAAAGTATACCTATGAGCTCGAAGTATCCGCTTGTAGAGAGCGGTGCCTATGCAGTTGTTGACTACACTGTTGTTTCCAACTTGTGTGATGAAAAACTGATTCTGCGGAGGAAAGAAAAATAAAGCAAAGATGAGATAAATCGTTAAATTTAAAAAAAAATAAATTTCTTTTTCATACTATTAAAAGTTAGAAATTTCTTTATAAGAAATTAATATATTTATAATAGTATAAATCTGAAGTTCAAAGAATAGAAACCATGTACATATTAAAAAATTCCATTAGATTATAAACTCTATAACAACTTTCATTAATGAATGTATATTTATAGAGAAATTAAATGAATTGCTGCAATTAAGTTTCTTTTTAATAAATTTTGAATAAGTTATGTGTCAGCTCCTTTTTAAACGCTGGCCCACTACAGCTTGAGAAATTTTTGCGATGCATGTAAAAAAATAAAACATTTTAGGATAAACATATTATTTTCAAACCACATTCATTGATTTAATATTGTTGGGAAATCACAGGAGAAGTCAGTTGTAACATAGAAAAAGGGTGGCCACAAAAGCTAAAAAAAATTGGATATCTTCTCCTGCTTTCTGTTGCACAGTGGAGGTGTTTCAGGGTATCAGGTATGTTTACTAACAAATTTGGGGAAGATGAATAGAGAAACCAAAAGTAGCTTGCTGTGTAGCTACTTTGTTATTGTAAAAATATCCACACCCCCACCAACGCCCCCACCAACACCCTCACCAACGCCCCCACCAATGGGGCCAAGTTAGGGGAAATAGGTGAGCATACAAAGTTAATTATTGCCAGGGAAAATCTTGGGGTCGGAGTAATCAAGCTGATGTACTAAAGGTGTCACAACAGAATGACCACAGTGGGCAGTGTGAACCATTTATGGCACCATGTTATTGAACTGGTAGTCTAGCCAGGTATGGGAGAGTGTGTCTCCATCATGTATTATGATGTTGGGGGGCAAGAACCTGGTCAGAATATGAGATGTTCAATGAGTAGAAAGCAGGGTGCACACTGTGATTGTTTTCAGTTGGTGCGATTCAGTCAGGGAGGAATTGTTTGAGACAGTAGGAAGAATATTGAAATCATTTTTTTTTAAAATTTAAACAAACATATGCATGGCCAAAGAAATTCTGAATGACGTATGTTTCTTCTGATGAATAACATGTTTCTTCTGATGAATAATGTATGTTTCTTCTGATGAATAACATATGTTTCTTCTGATGAATCTACACAACTAGGGAAATGTAACACAATTTTGAGCATGTTTTTGGAAGTAACTTCGTCAGTGAAGCTGGATTCTAAGTAATGACCATCATCAAGTCCACAAAATGTAACAATTTCACGAGTGAACATTAAGAAAATCTGATGAGGGCAGGTGTTACTGATTATCTCAAATAAGACAATAGCTCTTACAATTCAGAGCAAAATATATCATTAAAAATTAAAAAGGGCTGAAGTTTTTATTAGCTTTAGTTATATTCTTGATGAGCCGATAATGCTATTGGATATATAATATGGCTCTTTATGCACAAGGTAAGAAGTATTAATAATGGGAATAATTTTCTTTTGAGATGTTGTCATTTGCAGCCCTCGGGTGGCTGGAAAACTTTTTTTTTGTGGCTTACATAAGAAACACAGAAATGGGCTACAGGGTGGGGCTCCACTGTCCTAAGGCATGCTTTCAACGTTGGGAGCGTGACTTGAACAGATCCATACCTCTATGTAAATAAATTCCCTGGCATTCTCTATGCAGTGCTCATAAGCCTCATGGATAGAACTCTCCGGTTGTCCAATACCCGCTGACCACCCACAGCTGCTACGCAATACCTGTGGTGAAAATGTGGGAATGAGAGAAAACATACTGTAATACAAAGGTGATTATTTCAACAGCTCTCATCTTGGACTGTGGACACATTGAGAAAACATTAAGGAAGTTTTAAAAATTTAAAAATATCTCAAGATCCACAAAGAGAATTTAGAATGTATTTGAGCAATTAGAAACAAGAGCTTTACCTGAGCCTTCACTTCGAATGTGATGTCTTTGATGGATGTCGGTATGGAATATTTAGCTGTAGTCTTTGGGATGAGTAGAGGAAAGTTGGCATTTCTTTTAAATTTTTCCAGCTGTTTTAGGAAAAGTGATAGGATAGGTGTCAACATCAATAACATGACTGTGATAGGATAGGTGTCAACATCAAGAACATGACCGTGATAGGATAGGTGTCAACATCAATAACATGACTGTGATAGGATAGGTGTCAACATCAATAACATGACTGTGATAGGATAGGTGTCAACATCAATAACATGACAGTGATAGGAATAGTGTCAACATCAATAACATGACTGTGATAGGATAGGTGTCAACATCAAGAACATGACTGTGATAGGAAAGGTGTCAACATCAATAACATGACAGTGATAGGATAGGTGTCAACATCAATAACATGACTGTGATAGGATAGGTGTCAACATCAATAACATGACTGTGATAGGAATAGTGTCAACATCAATAACATGACTGTGATAGGATAGGTGTCAACATCAAGAACATGACTGTGATAGGATAGGTGTCAACATCAATAACATGACTGCCATAGGATAGGTGTCAACATCAATAACATGACTGATAGGAAAGGTGTCAACATCAATAACATGACTGTGATAGGAAAAGTGTCCACATCAATAACATGACTGTGATAGGATAGGTGTCAACATCAATAACATGACTGTGATAGGAAAAGTGTCCACATCAATAACATGACTGTGATAGAATAGGTGTCAACATCAATAACATGACCATGATAGGAAAAGTGTCAACATCAATAACATGACTGTGATAGGATAGGTGTCAACATCAATAACATGACTGATAGGATAGGTGTCAATATCAATAACACGACTGTGATAGGAAAGGTGTCAACATCAATAACATGACAGGATGGGGAAAAAAAACAAATTAGCCCTGAGTGTTCATTTGTTGATATACCCATTAAACACTTGTAGCTCTCCGCAGTTACCAAAAAATAAATGGATGCTTCTCTTACAGAGTAAATCATAAAAAATTAAACACTGGGCACAATTTTCTTATTCAGCCTTGGGGTAGCCCAGTGTTTCCCAAACTTTTGACAACTGTGTACCCCAGACAATACTTTTAGTAATACTGAGTACCTCGCGTAAAAAAAAATTGCATAAACTTAATAGCAATAAAATAATATATTTTTGTTCCTGTGCAGCCCATACCCCCACCAAACTGTTCCTTTAGGAAACACTGGGGAAGACTTTGAGATAATAAAATGAGCACAAAATTTTTTTTTTCCATTTATATTAAAATAATATAAATATAAATAATTTATTTTAAAATGTGAATTGTTTTTGTAAAAAAAAAAAGAACTTAAAAAAATTGGCATTACCAAAGTAGGGGAAAATGAAACCAGTGAAATGAGTGTGTCTCATAAACACATTTCTGATACAAGAAACATTCCAGTTGGCAATATGATACTTTGATCACCTTGCAATCAAAGGGAAGACAGAACATTTTATCGCCAGTTTTCTACCTTTGTAAAATTCCATCGACCAATGAAATGTCTGGCCAGATCTCGTGCAGACTTCCCATACAAAACGCAGCCTATGTCGTGCCAGGGCATCCTGGTAAACTTGGTGCGGTCAATAAAGTCTGCAGAAAATAAACAGCAATTTTTCTTCACATGGTGTTACAGTAAACATCTTTAAATTACCTCTTTTCTCTCCTTTATTAATGGCTAAGAAACATTTCTATTAACCAAATATTTTTTTTAAGGACATTTTTCCATTATTCTGAATAAGCTAGTTTACTTTTAATTAATTTATTTTCAATGCTGGAAATAATGCAGTTTTGAACAATAAGGACAAGACCACAGAGCATTGGAGGCTGTACCTTCAAAAGGTTGATCCAGGCTGACAAAGTCTTTGTATATAAAATTCACATAATCTTTTCCAATCCAGAGCTTGGTTGATCCCAGCAGGCCTCTCTCCAGAATGTTCTCTTCACTCTCTGTGTGGTGCATGGCATTCGGGACTTGTAGGTAATGATTTCTGTCAGCCTTCAAAGTCTCCTCATCTCCACTGTCCCTCCTGCCTTGTCTTTTCAATTTGTCCACTCCTTCCTTAAAGGACTTCACCTTCAAGATTGTGATGGAATCGGGACTTGTAGGTAATGATTTCTGTCAGCCTTCAAAGTCTCCTCATCTCCACTGTCCCTCCTGCCTTGTCTTTTCAATTTGTCCACTCCTTCCTTAAAGGACTTCACCTTCAAGATTGTGATGGAGGACAAAATAGAACCTTTACATTTCAGCTTATGACTTCACCTTCAAGTTGTGATGGAAGACAAAATAGAACCTTTACATTTCAGCTTGTGTTACTTCACCCTCAAGATTGTGATAGAAGACAAAATAGAATCTTTACAGTTCAACTTATTTAACTTCTCAGGTGGCTCTTGTTTTGTGAGGTGTCTATAAAGAAAAAAAAACCTAACAAGACAGAGAAATGAAGTTGATATCAACATCAGATGTTATGGCCAGGAAATTTAGATTTAGACAAAATTGTTTGTTTTTAAACAATTTTAAGGTGAGTTGAATAGCCCTCGAAAAAAAAAAAATCGTGATATCTGCAGATGAGAGTTTTTAAAATATCACAAGTCTATTTGGTGCATCATTTTTTCTTTTGTTTTATGGAAATAGTCTCCATTTAAATGATGTCATAAATTTGCAGCTTAAAAAGGGGTGGGACATAAGTTTTTTAAATATAGTTCAGGGACGTGAATAAAATTTGCCTTTGCTTATCCAGTTTTGGGGTAGGGTGGGAAGCACTAAATATGGGGTTCTGATGGCATCACTTGAATGCATGTTTTGTCAAGTAACGTTAGATGATTGGGTAGTTCACTCATTGCTCCTGCCATTGTTTATTAAAATATTAGGTAACCATAGAAACTAAAAATTGCACCAAGTGTTATTGCACACATGTTGACAATTAAACTTTTAGTTTTTGGCTTTCCTCCTGAGCAAACAGACGTAGACTTTGTTGCTGTATGTATTATGTTACATAACTTAATTAGTTACAGATATCTAACATTTTTTTAAAAAGTTTCTTGGCATCTCTGAAATAGAGTAGTTTCTGTAACACTACAGTTTTATTTGTGGGACAAACATGTCCAGCGGTTTGTTGCGCCCTATTGATTCTAAGGTAAGTCAGCGAGTCTAATACAGAGCAAAACAGCAGCTAAGACAAACTAAGAAGTCTCGGTAAGTAATAAAAATGTACAAAGATAAGATTATCCATTTACTTTTCTGAGGGTATTAAACAACATTCAAAGTACTGACCAACCGGCTCCTGGTTGAAGGATGTTTGATGTTTTGGTTGTAGAAAAGACTTTCATCAACCCTCTCAGGAACCTGTGGTGTGCGCACCATGGACTCGAACTTGGTCACATTCAGGATCATCCTCCAGCGCCGCCTGGCAGCATTTCCCTGCTCTTCTTTGGATGGGACTGAAACATTGTCGTTACCATCGTTGTTGTTCTGCTCCTTTCGATGCATCATTTTACGTAGAGCGCTCATGGCACCCACGGTGCTAGAGAAACTGAAAGCCCTCGAAGGGGTTTCCGCCATCACTGGTGTTTCCTTAGATCTGGCTGTTGCCCCAACCGGCAGGGACAGCCTTTCACTTAGCATGAGCTCCCCGGTGCCGGACGAGTCACTGCTGGCCCGTGGCTTGGCATTGTCTGCGGCACCTAGTTTATTTTTATCTCTCTTCGGACGACCCATTGATTTGGAATCTTTCACGCGGAATTTTTCTGACCTGACTTCTTCTGACCTCTGAATTCCATTCTCATTGATCACATGCCCGCCTCCTTCAGAACTTTTGGTCACGCCATTTTTGCTGGGAATAATGAGCTCCAAACTTTTATTCTTTGATCTTCTTTTCCACAAATGTGACGCCTTAACTCCAGTGCTGGCACTTGACGACTTCCTATCTTCGCTTGTGTCCCTTCTTTTGCCCCGAGGAGATGCAGACGCGCTTCTGTTTCTTTTTGGGGAAGATGAATGAGAACGAACGTTCCCTTTTGGGGAAGGTGAATCTGCATAGTTTGTCTTGGCACTGGGTGGAATGTCAGGAGCTTCAGCACAGCAAATAATTTCTTTGTCTAGTAAAGTCTCAAAGCCAACACTCACAGAGTTATGTGGAACATTTAAAATTATTTCACTGGTTGTCAGGGCAGAACGATCACGTAGGCTTTGACTGTGGATGTCTTTGAATGGTTGCATAGATTGGTTGATCTCCTCGAGGGCCGTGTCACTGAAGCCTATGGTGTCGATAAAGGCGGTCCCTGGGATGGCGTCTTCAGCTTTCACATATTTAAAGTTGACGCTGGGCTGCTGCAGTTCTCTTGGGCTGCTCCCTACGGAACTGTTGCTGTAAACGCTGTTCCTAGAGACTCTGTCGTGGTCACTGCCCTCATCATCACTGGCATTGGTCACTTTCACAACCACGTTAGCATCTATTGGCTGGTTTGAGATGGAATGTTTGGGAACCGACTCCTTTGGTTGGCTGTCATGACTACCATGAGATGTGCCCGGGTGGTCCGGTGTGTTGGACCCGGTAGACTGATGACGGGAAGAAGTAGTTACAGAAGCTTTTGCATTATTGGGTTCAATAGATTTCTTTCCTTTCGCGTTAGGTCTTCCCTGATAATCTGTACTGCCGGCCACTGCCTTTTCTTCACTAACAACAATTTCTGGAGTTGCATTGTTCACAACTTGCCAGGATCCTGTCTCTGAAATACTGTCATCTGTCACCTGCAAGTGTAGCATTGCGGTTGTTACTATATACCTAAAAATTTAACTTTTGCAGTTTTTACTATATACTTAAAATTTAACTTTAAACTGAATTTTAGCATCAGTTTCAGTCTTCCTTCCAAATGAATAATTATATAATGTCAGCCATATAAGTTTTTGCTGTGTGGCTGTTTTAAAATTTAAAAATCCCTTCACTAGCAGTTTTCTAAATATATTTATAATCTTGAGTTTTTAATCAGGATTATAGAAATCCTCAGGACGGGTCCATGTATTGTTTTGTGCACAAGACAATATCATTTTTTGTTTAAAAATTGCATTTGAAGCGAGACTAAAGCGAAAATACATTAAAATTAGTTCTCCAGTTTCTTGGTTCATATTATGCAGACAGGCAATGTCACGCTTGCAGACCACCACTTTTGGAAACACTGGTCTCTGATTTTACTAATAACTATTCTGACTTGAGTTGTGACAGATCAAACTTTGACTCCAACAGTTTTTTTAGCATTGAGTTAAATCAATTATCCAACCACATACCACAGACAGCTCTGTATGACTGGAGAGCTCCTGATGTAAGTTGTTGTCAGAAGCTGAGAACGGTGTGTCAAGTTTTGGTTTCAAACTTATCGAACCCAGATCTGTCATCCTGTAGCAGAGAGAATATTGCCTTCATAGTAATCCATTCATTCGTGGGATGGCATTAATCCCTTTTCAATTAATGTAATTTTAAATCTATTAAATGTAGAATAAACAATAAGTCCAAAAAGGAACACACACCCAATATTCCATATTTTTAAACTCCTTATATTTGTGAGCAGGTTTGAGGATTCTCAGAGAGTTAAAAAAAATTAATTTAAATGGCAAAAGTTATGGGTGTAAATCAGGCCTGCACCAACGTGAAGATCCGCCAGCACCCACTTGATGGCCCACCAGCGCCCACTTGAAGGCCTGCCAGCACCCACTTGAACGTCCACCAGCACCCACTTGAAGACCCGCCGGCACCCACTTGATGGCCCACCAGCATCCACGTGATGGCCCGCCAGCACCCACTTGATGGCCCGTCAGCACCCACTTGATCGCCCACCAGCACCTACTTGAAGACCCGCCAGCACCCACTTGATGGCCCGCAGGGCACCCACTTGATAGCCCGCCAGTACCAACTTTGGTGGCCCCAGAAGTAACAAAATATTCTTTGTTATTATTATTTTCTTACTAGCTTTTGCCCCTGTCCTAAAATCTTTCAGCCCGCACAAGTTTTTCATAATGTATTACGACCCACACAAGTTTTTCATAAAGTTTTACGGCCCGCCTTACATTTTGAGTTGTGCAGGCCTGGTTTAAATAAAACAAATTATGTTAAAAAATGTGAAAAAGAAAATTTGGAAAATTGTTTAAAAAATTTAAAATATAACAAAAACTACAATTAATTTTTAAAAAAAATACTAGTGATACGAATGTCATTGGTCTCTTGGGATAAGAATGTCAGTGATATCTTGGGACCAGAATGTCAGTGATATGTTGGGATAAAAATGTCAGTGGTCTCTGTGACAATAATGTTAGTGATATCTTGGGATAAGAATCTCAGTGATCTCTTGGAATATGAATGTCAGTGATATCTTGGGACAAGACTGTCAGTGATATCTTGGGATAAAAATGTCAGTGATATCTTGGGACAAGAATGTCATTGATATCTTGGGATAAGAATTTCAGTGATATCTTGGGTCAAGAATGTCAGTGATCTCTTGGGATACGAATGTCAGTGATATCTTGGGACAAGAATGTCAGTGATCTCGGGGGATAAGAATGTAAGTGATATCTTGGGATAAGAATGTCAGTGGTCTCTTGGGACAAGAATGTCAGTGATCTCATGGGACAAGAATGTCAGTGATCTGTTGGGACAAGAATGTCAGTGATCGCTGATGTATCCAGGCTTTATATATGAGAGGGTCTTAAGTTAGGTGGCGGTAATTCTAAATGGTATGTTATGGCAAATGGGGCTTGTACATATGTTGTATGGTATCTACATAGTAAAAGTTGAACACATACATTATTATTTCAAGAATTATAGCATTAAAAGAGTACATATAGTTTATACCACAGTATAAAATAAATAATTTCTTTGAAAGTGTGCCAAAGTGTAGATCTACAATTTAGAAATCTATATGGATGTACAACACATGGATTATGAACAAACACATGACCAATATTACCACATATTAAAATAAGAAGAATGTCAAAAAATGGTGAGCCCATAGCAGAACACCTTTACCTGGAATGTGATCAGGGTGGCGAAGTACCTGCAGATGAAATGAAATAAGTATAAGATAATAATTTTACCAGTCAAGTCATATATATTTTTGAGCAGGGGTCTTAAACTCGTGCCCCGTGGGCCCGCAATACCATATTTTGCGGCCCCCTACTTGACAGCTAAGATTAGTGTTAATGCGGCTTGCGCGCTTTCCCCATTCTCATATCTAAAATGGGACCCTCCGCGACGGTTTCAGTCGAATCTCACCGACTAGTCAAATTCTGATTTATATTATGTTTGTATAGGTTTTGACGTTGATTATAATGGTAAAAACCGTTTTAAAAAGGACTTAAGGTTTTTATTTTATAGCATTGTATGAGACAAACTTGGCCAAAGAGCGGTTTTGAGAAAAAACGCTTTGAATATTGTATGTACATATATCAAAAGTTTAAAAAGTCAGTTAGTGGGTAATGCAAAACTAGAATTGTGTAAATTGTAGCAATCTGACTCAGCATCAAAGAATCCCTATTAAAATTGCCGCTAGTGTGTAGGAGTGACCAGTGAGGGAAATTCCAATCCTGTGAGCTTAGGTAACTTTCCAAATAGGCTTAGTCAAAAATTCCTTTTCTACGAATAAAAAAATTAAATTTCATTCTCCGTACAATAGCATCTTCCTTCACATCAATAATTCATAAATATTTCTTGCTCATGCCCTCTTTTTGAACACGTTTCAGTTTGAAATCGCCAGTAAGAATCACAATATTTTTATTTTATTATTTTTTGTCATGCCAACATTGATACGCCATGTGACGGCCTATTTCTTGAGAACCCTTAATGTTTTTATTTATTATTAACAAAGGTTGAGCAGGTTGTAACAGTTGAACTTTAGTGAATTTGTAATCGCTTGTTTTGTGGAATACTTGATGCGTCCCAGTCTCACTAAGACTACCTCCTGCGGCCCCCAGATAATTTGAGTTTGAGACCCTTGTTTTAGAGTAACTGACAAGTCATTCACCTGATTACAATATTGTTAATTGTGAAATATTAGTTTAACAGGTATTATTCATCAATTAATAAAAAACTTATAAATCTAAATTTCAATAAAAAGAATATTGCTGAATAATAAGTGTGTTGTATGACAGCTGTGGCATCAAGCAGGATGCAAATTTAAATCTATAGGATTGCTATGTGTTTCAAAGATACTGTGAATTTGAACGTTTTAAGAGTGGAAATTCAACCTCAGCTCATGGGCTGTACAAACAAACAAGATGGTGATGGGCTGGATCTAGCTCATGGGCTGAAGTTATTCAAACACTTTCTTATGTCTGGCATATAATCATGACACCATAAGTAATAACACTTTTCTCTACACTGGGCCACAATGAACCATCCTTAATATTTTCCTTACACTGAGCCATTAGAAACAACCCACCTTGATATTTTCTCTACACTGAGCCATAATGAACCCACCTTGATATTTTCTCTACACTGAGCCATAATGAACCCACCTTGATATTTTCTCTACACTGAGCCATAATGAACCCACCTTGATATTTTCTCTACACTGAGCCATAATGAACCCACCTTGATATTTTCTCTACACTGAGCCATAATGAACCCACCTTGATATTTTCTCTACACTGAGCCATAATGAACCCACCTTGATATTTTCTCTACACTGAGCCATAATGAACCCACCTTGATATTTTCTCTACACTGAGCCATAATGAACCCACCTTGATATTTTCTCTACACTGAGCCATAATGAACCCACCTTGATATTTTCTCTACACTGAGCCATAATGAACCCACCTTGATATTTTCTCTACACTGAGCCATAATGAACCCACCTTGATATTTTCTCTACACTGAGCCATAATGAACCCACCTTGATATTTTCTCTACACTGAGCCATAATGAACCCACCTTGATATTTTCTCTACACTGAGCCATAATGAACCCACCTTGATATTTTCTCTACACTGAGCCATAATGAACCCACCTTGATATTTTCTCTACACTGAGCCATAATGAACCCACCTTGATATTTTCTCTACACTGAGCCATAATGAACCCACCTTGATATTTTCTCTACACTGAGCCATAATGAACCCACCTTGATATTTTCCCTCCACTGAGCCATTAGAAACAACCCACCTTGATATTTTCTCTACACTGAGCCATTAGAAACAACCCACCTTGATATTTTCTCTACACTGCGCCATAATGAACCCACCTTGATATTTTCCCTCCACTGAGCCATTAGAAACAACCCACCTTGATATTTTCCCTACACTGAGCCATAATGAACCCACCTTGATATTTTCTCTACAATGAGCCATAATGAACCCACCTTGATATTTTCCCTCCACTGAGCCATTAGAAACAACCCACCTTGATATTTTCTCTACACTGAGCCATAATGAACCCACCTTAGTTTTCTCTACACTGAGCCATAATGAACCCACCTTGACATTTTCCCTCCACTGAGCCATTAGAAACAACCCACCTTGATATTTTCCCTACACCGAGCCATAATGAACCCACCTTGATATTTTCCCTACACTGAGCCATTAGAAACAACCCACCTTGATATTTTCCCTCCACTGAGCCATTAGAGACAACCTACCTTGATATTTTCCCTCCACTGAGCCATTAGAAACAACCCACCTTGATATTTTCCCTACACTGAGCCATTAGAAACAACCCACCTTGATATTTTCTCTACACTGAGTCATAATGAATCCACCTTGATATTTTCTCTACACTGAGCCATAATGAACCCACCTTGATATTTTCCCTCCACTGAGCCATTAGAAACAACCCACCTTGATATTTTCACTACACTGAGCCATTAGAAACAACCCACCTTGATATTTTCCCTACACTGAGCCATTAGAGTCTGCTTGCTGTATATACTCTTGATGGTCAGGGCTGCCTCTATTTCCTTGTACAAGAGAACGAACACTTTCACTCCTTTCTCCTGTTGAAGTAAGACACAAAGCATAAGACACAAAGCATAAGACACAAAGCAATTACTTGTGCAACTGAAATAATATATCATAGGATAAATAGATTCTTACAAATTCTTACTTTGAGATACTCCAGCGTTGACTTTATGGAGCATTGAAGAACCCCAAAACAATTACAGCATATATGTTTATTTTAACAAATTTATCATTTTACCTTTGGGTTTAAAACTTGGTCAATTATAAAACTTTAAAAAAAAATTAAATCAAATAAAAACAATAAAAATAGTTTGCAGCATTTAATTTTAAAATGTTGGATAAGGCCCGACATTTGATATTATGGTCAAGACCATCAATGAATCCAGTTGAAATGAATGTGAACAATTAGGAAGAGAGGACCCATTCAGTATAACAAATCAATAAGTAAACTGTACTAGGAATCACCAGGGCAAGAGATAAACTGATCACTTTAACAGATGGCAGGAGATTTGGTCAGAGGTGGAGTGAGATTGAACACCCCCCCCCCCCCC